AAAAAAAAAAAAAAAAAAAAAAAAAGGAAAAGAAAAGAAAAGGGGAAGAAATGTCAACCTGTTGTGGTGAGTACTCGCAGCTGCAGGAAACAAAATCTTTCTCAACATGGTCAGCTCAGGGGCTGGAAAAGAAAGAAGGATAAACCCCTGCTTTCGGAGAATGAACAGAGACACACAGAAAATGGCTCGGATGCGGTATTGAGTGACAAGAACTACATTCTTTTTCCCTTTTCTTTTCTTTTTTTTCCCCTCTCGAGTCCGTACGATTGTGTTGCACACGCCCCTCCCATGTCACCGGGGATGAGGGCGAATGCTTCCGTTATAGCCTGAATGGTCTTTTCTTTTTTTTTCTTTCCCTTCCTGGCAGGGCTAACACACCTCAAGAAGATGATTTTGCGATGCTCGTTCTTAAATTTGAATAAAAGATCAAAAGAAAAGAAACCCAGCCTCACGCGGGATGGAAATGAAAAGAAAGGAAGGAAGAGGATGAGATGTCAATCCCAGCCTCATTTCTGTGTCACCCTCAACCTCCCCCCCCCTTTCCCTGCTGGGGAGGGCAAAGGGTGTACCTATAGTCTGTATGTATGTCTTTCTCAGCCTCTCTCTTCTCTTGATCTCCTCCTTCCTTTCTTTCTTCTCAGGGCAACGAGATGCTACAAGTACATTTTCATGACGATGGAGGTGGACATGTGCGAGAGAGAAGTCTACTCTGGATACGATGCTGGCCCGTCAGAGATACACACACACACACACACATAAGGAGATGATACCATGTTTTGTCTTTCCAGGGAAATCCAGAGGGATCAGGAGGCACCAGACGCACGCACGCACATATGCGCATCATACATGCGCATGCAATTGAGCGGTCCTCCGCGGCTTGCTCGTGCAGCAGCACCAGCAGCGCCAGCAGCAGCAGGATCAGGAGCAGGAGCACCACCCCCTCATGTATATCTTTGTTCCTCCCATCATCTACTTCCAGTCGATCACTCCGTACTCGTACTCGGCGCATGATCCCGTTTTCCGGATAAGTAAGGAAGGGTATTGATGATACTGACTCTTGAGACCTATAACATAGTACAGGGCAAGGGCTCAATACCCAAGGTATTACAGGATCTCGTCGCGTCTCTCCTTACTTTTTTCTTTCTCTTTTCTTTTCTTTTCTTTTCTTTTCGAGTCTTGGCAAATCTCATCAGCTATTGCTCGTAAAGTGGTGTTTCTATTTCTGTTCTACATGTAACAATGTAATGATAATAGTAGTAATACTCTCTCACTTTTACTATCAGACTGACAAGCACCCCCCCCGAACCCAAACCCCCTCCCCCATCTGAACCAACCAACTTTCCTTTTCCATTCTCAAACAAAGACAAAAAGAATACCCTACAGAACCGGCTGGTACAGATGATCCGGATAGAAGGATCGGACGTACATCATGTAATACACCTCCCTTTCCCCTCTATAACCGCCCGTACGTACGTCTTGATCGGAAGTCGGCGATTCCGTCATCGCCTGCCTAATCGGAGGGAGCTGACGAGAAAAAAAAAAAAAAAAGAGGTTGGCTGAACATTGCAACTCCCCTCCTGGGGTTGCCGTGTCTTGGGCTTTTTTTTTTAGAAAAAAAAAAATTTCAACTCTTCTTTTCTTTTCTTGACCAATTCAGAACAGAACAAGGACCGCTTGGCTGGATGGGATCTGCTTCACATTGTCGGGGGACATATGATGCGGTCAAGCGTGATCCCGAGACGAGACAGATGAAGCCTACGTGTTCATACGTATCCCCCCCCCCCCCAACACATTTACAGCATACGCCCCGGCCCCCTCTTCGCGCCATGTCGAACGGGCCATGTATCACCAATGGAAAGCTTGACATTGAGAAGAAGATCCCTCCCGTGCTAGCCGCCCAACTAAATCACTTGTCTTCCGTCTACACTTCTTGGACGCAACACTAGCAGATACGAAGTGTCAATACCCTTCCTCCGCCTCTGGGAGTACCTTACTCTGATACCTTCTGGCACATAGCGGAAGGAGATGTATGATGCTCGCACCTTGTATTCCAGACCGGACGACTCATCGAGACTCCGGATACACCACGCATGTAAGGGCCGTGGAATATGGAAATATTGAAACAATTAGGGTACAGAGATACACATATAAGAAAGAGACGTCTCTTCGGCAGAGATGATTGTCAACAGGTGACGACGAGTACGAGTATGCCTGTACGTGCGTTACAAAGGAGCGGTGAGGGAACGATGCACACACACACACACACGCATACACACACAAGGAGCTGGCCTAGATCAGACGTGACTGATTGAATATTCAAAGCTCGAATGTACAGGTATATTATACTGTACATGGATGCTATTCTATCTCTGGTCAGAAGGGTGGGGGGCACAGCACAGAGACTTGCTATCACTTGATGCGGTTCACGCAGAAGGCTTGTCACGGCTCATGATGGTATATGTTGCTTTAGATGTATATGTCTACACATGTACATATTTACATTTAGGCCACACACACACACACACATATATATATATATATATATATATCTATATGTAATATATTTCTCGTCTTCTCCCTCTCAGCATCTACCTCGAGATATAACATATCGCGGCTTACGCCATTCTTGTATCATCTGGCGACTGTGCCGCTGGACTCGGTCTCTCGACTTGGTGCATGTACGAGGACTCGAGTCAGTTTTCTATAATGACAACACCATCCATATATTGGTGTAGATATCACGAACAAGTGATCAGCTGTACGTAATCGGCATCGATTCTCGGTAGTAAACGCATCCCAAGCTCGTTTCCACCGCCGTATATAAACGACGACTATTATATGCACGCGGAGCACACGACCAGATGATTGCCAGCTATACGAGAGAGCTCTACGGACCCCTCCCCAACACATGCAACTCGTGATGATGCGGGCAATCATGGTGTCGGCCTATCAATCAGGAACTGGAGTAGAAACGAAGAGGGGAAGGAAGAGGCAGTCGTCGTACTTGGGGACAACGATACCACCGAGTACATAATACGGACTCTGGTCGCCGCCGCCGCACGGCACATATCTCGTAGAAATACGACGTTGGAAGCGCCGATCCGCCAACACAACGAGAGACATGGAGCCTGCTCCGGATAGGATATATCAATTACGAAGAGTCGGAAGAGAATGATGGATAATACTCGTATAAGATACTCGTACACATACACACACACACACACACATACACACGCACACACACACACACATATATATATACATATATATATTAAAGAAAAATGGAAACAATCCACGAATAAGCTGATGAATTGGCATCGGCGACCAGAACCTGGAGATAGCAGCCCAAAGAGGGGACACGTCTCTTAGCACACATCCCATCGGTCGATTCAGGTTCTTTTTCAATGCCGTCTCCCGCTTTTTTAGAGAGAGAGAGAGAGAGAGAGAGAGAATGAGGAAATAACAAGAAAGGGAGAATCGAGAAGAGAGAGAGAGACCTGACGGGTGGTAAAAAGTTGGTGGGCCGCAATAGTATGTGGTAGGACAAACAATTAAGACTTGGTGGGTTCTACCCTCGACCACAATCTTTTTTTCCGCAGAGAGAGACGTGGTGATCTCTCATTGGACTTTGGAGGGAGGAGGAGGGGGAGGGAGGAGGTTCAGTTGCAACTAAACATCCGCCGCCGTCTACGTGGTATTATCACTGGTACTCTCTGTTCTGTGCATAATAGTACTCTGGAAGGAAGTTGGCTCTCTTCTTTCTTCCTTTTATTTATTTTTTAAAGAAAAAATCTTCATCTTCATCTTCATTTGCAGAAGAGTATATGAATCAGACGTCTGGGGACGGATTGGCAGAACAATGTTCTCTCAAGAGTAAACACACCCGGGGGGGGGGGGGGGGGGGGGATGACTTGTGCTGGGCCATGCAGCGGCGGAGATACCGGACAGTTGAGAGTGAGGCTTGTATAGGACGGACAGCAACAGTCGCGTCAGATTCGAGTACAACCTTTCACACTATAGTATATGCACGAGCGCTCTGTTGACATTGTTAGCCAGCTCTGTACGGAATACTTGTGGCCTCCGTAGCCGTACGGCGTAGCAATATTGAAACAATATAATACTATCCGTATGATATCCCCACATCTCGTCACGTCTTCTCTGTATCTCCCGCTCCGTCTAACCATCGTGCACCTCAAGACCTCAAGACCTCAAGACCTCATGAGGAAAGAAAAAGAAGAAGAAGAAGAAGAAAGAAAGTAGAAGAAGGGAAAGTCGACGAATGAAAGCTACCACATTCACCGAGTACCGTTATTAAAAAGAAAAACGAAAAAAAAAAAAAAGAAGAAAAAGAAAAACGAAAAAGAAGCAACA